AAAAACTACATTCGTCTGTGAATTCTATCGTCTTCAGAAAGTCACAATTTCTTCTAATCATTTCCAGCATCCAATTGCAAAATTCAAGACGGTTTGGAAAGTCTCGCGGTAACTGTGCCTGTACTCGTTGCAGATGGTAAGGGTATAATAGTTCCTTTAAAATTCGAAATACCGTCATATGATCAACATTTAGCTGGAAAGCAATCTTTCTAGTACCGGTAGTAGGTTGTTCTTCAATCAAATTAAGTACTGCTTCCTCAAGCTGTGATGTTCGTACTTCTCGATGGCGACCACAATCCTGCGTTCTTTTGTCGAATGAACCATATTCTCGTAATCGTTGATGAAGTCAAGCAAATATTCTATGTGGAGGATGCTGCTGTTGAGGATACATTTCACCATATCCTCGCTATCGCTAATAGACAAATAGCGACATGATATATCATCTTGAAGTATTTTTCACCATCTTTCAATTTACCGAGTAATATACAGGGGGTTTCATTTGAGAAAATGAAATTCTGACAGAGATAGGTTTAGGACATTATTAACAAAAAAGTATTAAAATACCAGAGCGATTCCAAAAATGTATTATCTAATATACGGGGTGTTCCATTTAAAAAAATGAAGTTGCTAGGACTTTTTGAGGGAAGTGGCAACGCCGCAATGCTGAAAATATTTTAGTCGGTAGAACAGGTAAGGAAATGTGAGAGGTGAAATTTTCAGAAAAATCATGCTTTGCGTTTTCCAGAAACGTCTAACCGGTAAATTTTCGTTATGTGGACACCCGGCGATTTTGAAAAAAATGTTTGACTGTACTTACGTATTTTGATGCGTAGATTACGAATCCGAAAGAAAAAATCGGCGCTCTCCCTTATTTAAAAAGTTACGACCCTTCAAAGTTCAGAAAAGGGCAACTTTTCAGATGAAGTTCGAACTGAAAAAATTCACCATGAAACATTGTTAACCACTCTCAAACAATAGGAAATAGGATATTTAACGGAATTTTTGTGCGTCTGGCAACTCCGCTGCATTGCTTATAGTTCTGGTTTTTTATTGCTTATTCTGTTATTCTCTTTGTGCCATTTTTAAAAGTCGACACATTCCTACGATGGCTTCAAATGGTCCTGCCCTTTTTTATCTCGTTCAATCCTTCATGTTTTCTAGGATTTTTTTTCTCGTTCAGTTGTTAATGGATTTGCTTCGAATTTTCTACGAACCGGTACATTTGTGATTGGCACGTTCTTTTGGCAACTTTTGACGATATTACGTGTATGGAATTTTGGAAAAAATCTTCTCTCTCGCTTTATTTTTTATCGTTGTCGTGCCCCTGTTATTGACGTGCTACCAACGTTTCAGTATTAGTTTTTCGCGAAAGTTTAAGCTAGTCTTTTGTCCACGTGGTGGTGATTTCTTTTCGAAAAGTAGTTTTTCGTATTTTTTAATTTGTCGTGTACGTTTTTCTTTTTCGAGTTGCGATTTTTTTTGCGTGGTATGGCTAAAACGAAGGTCGCTAAGAAAACCTCCAAAGGGAAGTCTATCTCGACCACCGATGAAAGTTTGGGGGGCACCTTTGCGAACGGCAAGAAGAAGCTGAAGCCGAGAATTAAGAAGGTGTCGTTCAGTAAGTATTATCTATCGTTTTCGATCTGTGGGATTTTGTACAGTTTCACCTGAAAAGGAAATTGAAATTATAGTGTATCGCATTTGAAACGCCCTGCTGTTTCCTGCAATAATAATAATGTATTTCATTAGTTCGGCCTTTCATTGTCTGATTTTATATAAAATGATTTGAAATTCCTGAAAGAACTAATGAAAAAAGAAGAATTGAAAATGAATAGCTGAAAATAACAATTATATCAAGCAAAAAAAACCTGAAATTATATCCACAATCGTCTTCAGGTACTAACTGGACTGATTCCTCACCGGTTTAGCGGAATATGAGCGTTTGGCTGGAGTTGGCCATTTTTCGCTTGATTATAGGTTTCCATATGTTGCGTGTCTTTTCGCTAGTTTGGACAACGTCTTCTTTGAACTTCCTCCTGTACCAGTGTTCCTCCCTATGTATGGTCTCAGCTTGGGACCACTCGATGTTATGTTGATGGGTCCTAACATGGTCTGCTATTCCTGATTTGCTGGTTTCTCCTCGCTGTGTGTGTTTCTTGTGCTCGGCAATGCGAACATTCAAAGGCCTCTTAGTTTCACCAACATAGGATTTTCCACACTCACAGGGTATCCGGTAAATGCAATTCTTGGAATCGCAGTCCGTGTTTGGTGGCCTGGTTTTCGTGAGGCTGCTACGGATAGTGTTACCGGATCTGAAGCAGGTTCTGATGATGTACTTGGATCCAATTCTTCTTATCCTTTCTGATAATCCTCTGATGTAGGGAAGTGCAAGCACTGGTTGTGGAGGCTTCTCTTCCTTGCGAGTCTCCTGCTGTCTTTACTGCAGTTACTTCCTATATGGACATTTTCAAACTAATGCCATGAACTGATAATGATACGGTAAACTCCGTATAATTTTTTCAAGAAAATGTTGAAATGTTTCATCAAAATGAGTCAGTCATCTCGGAATTTCAAAACTATCCTAAAGTACAAGGTATTCCACGCGAAAAAACTGAGTTTTGGCCAATTTTTATATCTTCTGAATTAATAATCGATTCCGAACACCTTGTATAACATTTTGGAACTGATACTCCTGCAAGGCGATGCAATGTAGTATTTTGACGAATTAATTATAACTTATTTATGAATTCTATCAAACTATTGAATTTTATGGGGGAATCACTTGTGAGCTGAATTCCTAGTTTTTTGTTTTGAGTAAACAAATGAAAATTTCGAGAACGGTTTACTTTCGTTATAGGTTGTATCGCAAAAACTCATATTAGAATCATGCTAGGTATTCAAAAATGTGATAATATACAGGGTGTTACTTTTGAATTGAGAAAGTTGGTACCAACTTCCGGTGTAACATTAAGTGTTGGAGAAACGCCATTATTTTCATTCGATAAAGCCATATTAAAACACCTATATTTGTCAATTTTCAGGATATGAATCATAATGCAAACCCTGTGAAAAACTATGTTGTTCCGAAAATGACTTTCTATAGTATTGATTTTAAAATAAGACCTAATAGCATGTTAAAAACTGGATAAATTTTGGTCTGTTTGTGGAGAGAGGGTACAGCATTATATGGTTTGTAGAAGTTGGATTTGAAACGTCTTTCCAAGAATAATTATAGTATTTATAGAAAGAAATAAATGAAGATAAATCAGAACTGAAAATAAAATAGATGATGATCCCCCGTGGGTTGACCAATAGTTGACTACACTGAACAATAATCAAACTTAACTTTATTTCACTTTAAATATAACAAACACTTCAACTAAAACTTCAACTAATATTCGAATGTCTTTCGCCTTACTAGATCGCTTCGCGTACCGCACTGTAACTTCCACTTAACTGTATCGATATGCTCGTGGGTAGCGTTTATATATCGTAATCGAATACGGCACAATATTCTTCGAAATTTCATTCTCGCTATATCTAAAACGTCAGCGAACATCGAACATTCGTTCGCTCTTAGCTACGTCAAAATTGGTTAATGGCTACCAGTGGCGGCCGGCGTTATTTTCTTTATGGTATGATTTACAACACTGTAGTAAAAGTTTTACTAAAAATATTGTTCTTTTACTGATATCTCAAAAGTCCTTTCGCCGATTCAATGAAACTGCTAGATGGACTAACACACAGATGGTGCTACTATTAATAAATTCATATGATTTTTAGTTAACTGTAACCTTCAAAAGACACGTGTACAAATATCACGGCTTTCAGTCTATTAGTTTGTAGGACAGAACATATTGAAGCAATTTTTGTTAGTTTGAAGAAAATGTATGAAAAAAATTTTCGTGTGTTGATGAAGCATTGCTTTTTGGTGAAAAAAAAACTGTCTAAGTCCACAAACAAATTTTGTATGAGCGCGAAGTGAAGTTGATCGAGATATCTGAGTCTCTGAAGATATCAAGAGTTTGACCGCAAAAGATGCCACGCGCTTGAATCTTTTCGGGACCTGAGATCTATTTCGATTGCTCGACTGACGGGTTTTCCACTATTTCCATAACGCCTGACGATTATTTTTGTACTTTTTATGCTACAAACTGTCAACTAAAAAAAATTTCAGACTGCATACTATTACTTTTTTTTTCAAAATTCAGGATTACGTTACTACGCGTGACTGACGAACAATCCACCCGCAGATCAAGGTCTGACGACTTTTTTAGTTCAATATGCCTTGAGAATAATGAACTGTGAAAATTATGGACTGCATAAAATCACTTTTTTTTAATTACTGGTCATCTCCCGCAGCTTCCTCCGACTTTATCCACCGCTACTGGAGAGTCTGACGGTTGGTTTAGTATTCAGGTACATGGAAACAACTTTAATGAGTGAATTTCATTGTGCATAGAATAACTTTTGTAAAAGTGACACTACCTCCCGAACTATTTTGATGAGATTCTCGTCCAACACGGTCAGTGCTGTAGTATCGAAGGATTCGAAAGTACCGCGGGCATCGGAATAGTTATAATAAACGGTTGGAAATTGATTTGTGTTTAGTTTATTTGCTGTTGTTATTATTGTTTTTATTTTTAGTAGTTTCGATTTTATATGAGCGCGTGCCTGTGGTAAAAGAACGAAATTGCCTCTGCACTTAGTTTCGAGGTCACCGAGAACTTTGTGAATTTATGAATGAAAGTAGCGGAAGTGGACTTACTGGTTGATTTTTTACTATGGTTATGGTATCGGTTGATTGGGATGCTCATGGTTAATATTCATCGACGATCTTGAAAAGGGGAAACCATCAACAGCGACTATTACATAGTGTTATTAGAACTTTTGAAGGACGAATTCGAGGAAAAAGTCATCAAGACGATGCACCATGTCACAAATGAATGAAAACGATGACAAAATTTCATGAATTGGGCTTCAAATTGCTTCCTTGTCCACCGTATTCTCCATAACTGGCCTTAGCGACTTTTTCCTCTTCTCAGAACTCAAAAGACTGCTAGCTGGAAAGAAATTTAGCACCGATAAAGAGGCGATCGTCGAAACTGAGGTTTATTTTGAGGCTAAAGACAAATCTTACTATGAAAATCTATCTATCTATCTATAAAAATAATATCAAGAAATTGTATGACCGCTTTAATCTTTGTTTATTGTTTTTCCCATGTTAGCCTACAAACTTTGGGCAGTAACAAGGGGCTTCTTTTCATGAAATTAAATTACGGATAATAATTCCATGATAATGTTTTTGGGTAAATGGCTTGTTTTCTCAGTTTTTTTTTGCAAAACGAGCCGATAGTTTCTACCTGCAAGGTGGACAATAAAAGTTTTATCCAATTCCAAATTTTCATGAAGCATCGATCAATTTCTTGACATGATAAAGGAATGGGCATTGTATGTGAGATGAAAATATACTCTTCTTTCAGGGGACGAACAAATCGAAGGGAAGAGTGTATCTGATACTGCCGAGTACACTGACCCGGCTATTATGGAAGTTCGAAAAGAGAAAACTAGGATCCGATATACTGCAGAGGAACTGTACAGATATCGAGATTCGCCATTCTCCAAGAAAAAACCGGATTTTTTCGAAGAAGGGTAAGATTTTGTTTGAAGTGTTGCTTGTTTTGGTTTGTCCCCGTTTTCAATTGACATTTTTTAGATATACATTAGTTTTTTGCCTGTAAATCTAATTCTGCTCATCTAAGTCAACAGTCAACAACATTTATTAAGTCTTTCTGCATCGAGTAGAAAGTTGCTTCAACAAGAATATCGAATTTTGATAAAAAATGTCTAGAGACCGCAACTGTTTCCATTGGACACATTACTGAATCACAGAACGTAATTATTTGTAGTTCTTCAAGTTTGGAGCAGATAATGCAGTCGAAGTCGGAAAAAAAGTGAACTCTTTTCTGTTCAAGCTTTCTATACTTCATTATTGGCCTTCTTCAGAAACATTATAGTACAATGAGATATGATAGAACAACAATTGCAAAACAAGTGAAAGCGTTACCTACGAAAGGTGAGGTTATAAATATGAAGCCAGCATAAAACTTATGTTTTCTTGATACATTATTAAATCAAAAGGATGTAAGAACACTCGTTAAATGTAAACACGTAGAAATAGCCGGACATAGTTTAAAACGATAAGATGACTCGAATAGAATCAATATTGTTTCAAATTTTTGTGCACTTTTTTTTGAGGAAATGATCTAATTTCATTTCAATTAACTGTTTAAATTTTACGAGTGTTCTTACATCCTTTTGATTCAATAATGTATCAATGAAAACATAAGTTTCATGCTGGCTTTACATTCATAACCTCACCTTTTGTAACTAAAGTTTTCACTTGTTTTGCAATTATTATTCTATTATATCTCATTGTACTATAGATTTATCGAAGAAGAGCCAGTATTTCATAGATAGTTCAAGATTTTATCACTGACCGCTTCAATGAAATTAAACTCTCAAAGTTGACTCCCCAAAGTTTACATTATTCAGAAAGAGAATAAATAGCAGAGGTCCAAGAAGGCTACCCTGAGGGAAGCTTGTGTTTACATTTTTTTACAATGAATTTCCCGTAGTATATACAATAATTTCTAAAGAAAAGTGCAGCTTTGAGACATGTCAACTCCAAAATATTCGTCAATTTTGTTTTTTATATTAGTGGAGAAATGTTCGCCAAAACAATTAGCTACTGAGACGGGATCAGTAAATGTGGTATCATTTATTGTAAGTGTTATACCGCTTTTATTTTTTGGACTTCTGCCTAATTTTGTGTTGTTTTTTGTATTAGTATTATATCCTTACTATGTGTGTCTATATAACATGAAATATTATGTATATCATGTTTGTGTATTAGGATCTTCCTACCAATAAATCATTCATTCATTCACAAGTTCATAGACTTTTTTTCTTAAAATTGTCTCGGGAATACGCCACTTGAATATTTTAACGTAATTATGTTACAACCTGTATATTAATTAATTACATGTGAAATGAAGTTGGTGATTAACGACTTCGTATTCTTTTCTAGAACGGCATAGGCAACGAAGGTGATCCGGCCACCAAGTCCCGCTTCAGCCAATTTTTCAAGCAGGATAGCCCTGAAAAGGCTGCAGAAAGTCGTCGCTCTTCAATGCACGACGACCACCACATCATCAAGAACTTGCTGAAGGACATCGGCGAGACGACGAGCGTCGCCATCCCCGGCGACTCGGAGGCATACTTCGCTCCCATTTCGCCCGCCGCCAACACTGGGGGCGGCGTCATTGGCGGGGGAAGCGGCAAGAGGGCCGCGCAGGCAAACGCTCAACCGATCAACATCATGGAGATGCTGCAAAGGGGTAAGCAGCCAAACATCTCTTCCGGAAAGATTCTTAGTCTGGACGAGCTCGAGGCGAAGATGAGGCAGGATGTGCCGCCTCCCGGTTTGGCGCAGAAGCACCACCAGCAGAAGCCCGACGAAGAAATGGCTGCGGCTTTCAAGAAGTTGGTGAGTACGAGTCATCTTCCTCTGAGATGCTGAAAAATGAGGAATTTTTTTTAAATCAAGTATACGCTCTCCAAGATAAGTATACACGTCAATGTCATGATCATGTGCAGATATAATGCAATGCTCTCTTTTTGAATAACGAATACAGAGTTCAGTAAGAATGGGCTTGTTTCATGATTTTTGGTTTAAAGTTCATTTGATAGAAATTTGAAATGAAAAACAGTGCACTTTGTTTCATCAATCTAAGTACTGTAGTTTTCCCGTTTTAATAACCAAATACATGAACATGAAACAAGATCTTATAATAATTTTCATATATACATAGAATTCACACTGGTGGCGGAACGAAAAACTTATTCTACAAGGGACTACGGGAATTTAACAATTTACCAAATGCCATTAAAGAGGAAAATACTGTAAGAGGGTTTAAAAGTAAATTATTGGAATACCTAGAGCGTTAGTTAGTTGGAAAATATGTATATTATATATAGTTACTATATCAATATTGGTTTTCAACATTGGGTCTTATAAATTGTATATTTTTTATTATTATCTTTTTATTTAGTTTATCTTCATTATTATTATCTATATACATATTTGACTTTTATTAATATTTTTGGCACTGTGGAAATTTAAACTNCACTGAGTTGACAACAATAACAACAAAAATGGCATCTGCCAAATTGGATCATCAGATCTGTGATTGGATATTAAAAACCAATACACTTGGCAACTCCGCTCTAGACAAGATCAATTTTATTGGTTAACAGACACGCGGCCAATTTAAATTCTTGCTTTTCGAATTATTTTTTTCTGCAAATATAAAGAGATTTTGGGACCGATTAGGCTTGATAAGTATAATATACCCCTAACTCGATCAGTCTATGATCAAACCAGTATCATTTTCCATAGCATGAAACAAGTCCATTGAAAACTGGTGTTCCAAAAACGAATAAGAGTTAATTAGAGCAAAATATGCAGCTTTTGCTGCTGAGAAATCGAGTTCTCTCGCTATAACCCTAATTGCAAAGCAACCAGAAGCTAATTTCTTGCATAAGGATGAAATATGAGCAGTGAATGTAAGGTCCTTATCCACGTGTAGGCCAAGAAACTTGGTGGTTACTGGTTCCATTGCTATTGATGAAGTTCCTTCAAAAACTTCACTAAGATGAATGTCTTGGAGAAATTCAGAGATGATTTAGTTGCATCACACCATTTTCTAACGTTTCATATCTGCTATAAGGAAGTCATTCAATTTAGTAATGTATGCCATATGTATATCAAGTAAGATCATACGAAAAACTATTATACACTAAGGATATCTTATGGGGCGTTCCACAAGGATCAGTACTGGGCCCGATTCTTATCCTCATTTATGTAAATGACCTTGTTACTCTCTCAATTCAAGAAATTTTTACGATCTTTGTGGATGACACCACGCTCCTTTGGCACGGAAAAAATACTTCTAATATGAAAGAAACTATCTCTAGTGATTTAAAAGTTGTGATGCAAATTACTTGTGCTTTAATATTAAAAAAACCTACTCACCTTCAGCTGTAGTATTGACAACTAGTGAACTAGTGAAATTCAACTGAAATTATCAAAGAACAATTCGTTCAGGCCAGTCTCAACTCCCTACACAGTAGGTAAATGGACTGACACCTATCAGAAAACAACTACTCCCTTGGTTAATACCACGAAGGGCGTTGGATTATATCCGATAGGTGTCAGTGCAGGATTCTTCACAGAAGTTATTCCTGCATATGCCGTTGGCGATACAACTACCTCAATAGATTTTCAATAATTGGAACACACTGTTTGCCTGATTTACAAAAAAAATAATATGGTTAGAACTCCGGAACATACAAATCACATACCTGGCAAGTAACTGAAAATAAAATGCATCTTCCTGTTCCAAAAACAAGCCAGACAAAGTATTCTTTAATTTATGAAAGTAAAAAGCTGTGCAATCACATACCGTACGAAATTATCGGGAGTGTGAGAGAAGAAACCAGTCGCTGTATCATGTTAAGCACAGTTCGATTCAATTAAAAATATTTTCTCTCTCTGTTTACCAAAATCGCGCAAAAGGATAACATTCGATTTCATCTCACAGAAAATACAGTCCACGTACTCAACATAATGTTCCATGAATTTTTATAGTTAACAAAAGACCACGTTCGACAAGCCCGGAAAATAGCTGCTTCAACACTGTTTTTTCATCATCATTTTTTCATCATTGTGAACTAGAGAAAAAGTGGGAATAATTTATGAAAACGAATTTTTTTTTCTTCAGGCATCCGAGAGATTCAATCTTCGAACCGTCGTATCGGCAGCGGACGTATCCTGCGTGATTCGTGGGACTTTGGCGACAAACCCGATTCATGTAGTAATATCGGTGACGGGGAGTACAACTTCAGGGGCGGACCGCGGTGCGGTAATAACAATGAGCGAGAGGACAAGTTCGGTCCCGGCTCCGACAAGTACGGTCCTGGCTCCGACAAGTACGAACGGCGAAGCTTTGGCAGGGACTTTGAAATGGGCGGCAGGGGTGATAGAGAGAATAACAACAAGGAGCCGTCGTCGAGAAGAAACGGTCGCTTCGACAGGAGGAGAATGACCGACCACAGGGAACAGGAGCCCGAATGGTAAGTTTTCAGGGGTGTATCCTACCGACTGTGCCAAATTTCTTGCATCAGCTTTATAGGTTCTGAATGCTGATTTGCTAAATTATTGTTTCCATATGTTGATTAATGGGTTAAGAACCTATTGTATTATGAATAACGTATCACCTAGTGTTAGCCACCTACCAAATTCGAATCTAAAGTCTATCCAAATCCAAGATAGAGTAAAACAAAACCGAAGCGTGATGTTCACGTGATCGCCCAGTGTCAGATGAAAATCTTTTTATATTACACATATTATCTGCATTTTTCCCGTTAAACTGCAAAACTTGTGCATTTCACTCGTTATTATAAAAAAGTTTTCCTAAGTATGATATAGCATTTGCGATCAACAAGATGTTGGTTCTGAATTCGACCCTGGCCAATTCTTGGGATTTTCCATATCACGTGCGTAGGGCATGTCAATGTTTACATCCACTCTATCTTGGATCAAAAGGTGAAGGCGATGATATCTCACCTTACGAATACGCCATCTATGGGATTGACATAACTTCATTGATGAATATCAAAGGTTAACAAGGCTCCTCAAAACAATTCCTTACAAAGCCAAAATTTGAGCGCCTCTGTCTTTCACTGCAACTGCAACTAGGCGATCCCTTGGCGAGTTTCCTTGTCTTTTAATAGTCTTCAATTGAGTTTCTATCGTTCCCATGAATAGGGTTTTTGTAAGGGCAGATGTCATTGTTTTTACTTTCCCAAGCTTGTCCTTTGAGGATAGTGCTGCCTAGTTTAAGGCTTTGGTTTGAAGAATTGATGTTTAGTTTGTAGGATTTGTCGATCATAACAAGTCAAGTCAACCACACTTATTTGTGAGTCATGGGTTCATTTGAACTACTGTTAGATCTGGTATCTATGTCAAGGTTTTCAATCTAAAGGAGAAGATAGAAATTTTAGTGGGTTTGATAAAAACACACACCTTGATTCATCAATAAAATATGTGATGAAACAAATATTGTAAAAAAGGGATATAAAACAGTTGACGTTTTCATTTGATCAGAGCTCTTGTTTGGAAGATTACATGCACTTCATGAAACAATCTACTTCAGTTGCAGTCACTCTCTTTCAATGTCGTTAGTCAGGTTTTTACAAGGATGTGAATGACAGGCCAATTCTTGTGTTAGCTTGTTATTTGGTTGTGAATTACCAAAGATTCTTAATTTGTATAATTAATTTCAAAACAAGGGATAACTTTAAACATAGACAGTTCGGTTCTGTACTTCATCCCTTCAATTCAAATATAGTAACATTTTGTACAAAATGCGATGGAAAGTTTCACATCTTGTATGTTACTTCAGGTTTTCTGGTGGCCCCGTATCTCAGAACGACACGATTGAACTGCGCGGTTTCGAAGACACCGACAAACCGGGCAAGAAGAAGCTATCACCGTCTCGCGTCAAACGTGCCAAAGACTGGTCGAAGAAGAAGATTGAAATCCAACCGGTCACCGTTAATGACGATAAGGTAGGTTTTGTTTTTCACTCAAGTGTACATTGAACTAGATGAAGATGTAATTTTTCATTAAAATGTATGACGGTACAGAGTGTTGCAATTAAAATAAGAAATTTTATATTGAATGTGATAGTAGAGCAGGGGTGCCTCAGGGGTCAATTCGGGGGCCAGTATTTTTTATATTTACTTTTGTTCTTGACATTTTCTTTGTTTATTGTGCATTGATTTCTTTCAACTGTACTTTTCAACCAAAGAATTAAATATAATTATTATTAGGAGGAATCGAAAGAGCCTGCAGTACGTTCAACTCCAACTCCACAGTTGGAGTCTAAAATTGTTGAAAAGACTGAGGAGAAGGTAGAGAAAGACGCTAAAGATGAACCGGTTAAAGAACCTGCTGTAAAACCGCCAGAGAAAACCAAAATGGAAGGTGTTCCAAACGAACAGTCGTTCAATTTCGAAGACATCCTGAAGTGTGACTCGATCTCTGGTTTATTGACGGTGAGTTATTTTTTAATAACGTAGCGTAAGTGCCAGGACACGCTGAATATGATAAGGATATAATAGCTGTTCCTTTAAAATTCTGTAAACTGTCATGTGACTCACATTTAAATTTGACTAATTTTTCTTGTACTTGTCTCTGGATGGTCATTAATTTCTTTGAGAACCGCCTCCTCCAATTCTACAGTTCTTGTAGTCCCTGGTCGTCCTACTGCAGAATTTGTTTCAAAGCTTCCAGATTCGGAAAGTCGCCGGAAAAGATTCGCAAATGTCGCTGCACAAGGAGTCACGCGTTGGGGATACCTTTCCTGATAGATGCGTCTGGCCTCGCTTGAATTTCCGTCATCAAAAACCATATCAGCCATTTCAGCATTCATAAGTCGGGCATGGTACCAAAAAATCACCACTCCGAACTGTGAATTTGTCAATTAATATTTGAAAATGTGACAGCGAACTTTTATTTTTATTAACAAACTATCATAGCCTACTCGATTTAATTAACTTAATTTGCAAGCGGAGAATGACAAAAATTATTGAAATAAAATCACCTCCAGCGTTGTTGAGGAGGTGTACCTTTTTTTAGGTGTGGGAATTAGGTTTTTTCATGAAAAGTACCAAAAGTTTACTGTCTAAAAAAGTTAGGGCAATTTAAAATGAATAATGACAGCGTACGCAGCCCCCTCTAGATGTTACATGAAAATTAATACAAAATTATGATTTCCCACGTTAAAAAAACCCCGGGTACCGAATTTCGTGCAAATAACTTATTTTTTGCAGTTTTTTTCAAAAAGCGAACAAAAAAATTCAATTTCAACACTCCGTATCTCCGAAACGAAGCATTTTCGGACACAGAAAACAGAAGTACTATTATAATAAAATTGATTCGAACACGAGAAATCCACGAGGCATGTGGAAAAGCATAAAATCGCTGATAAACACAACGAATAACTCTAGTTTCAGTAACGGCATCCAGTTTGAAATAAACGGTCAAGTAAAAATTTGCACGGAAACTCGTGAAATTGCTGAAAATTTCAATCTTTATTTCGAAACTAGTATCGAATCCATAGTTGACTCTATAAATGCTAATACAGTTTGGCAAGCNCCACTCACAATTACACTACTAGACAAAATGACAATTTTCACCTGCCACGATGTAGTTTATCAAACTCCATGAAAATTTTATTATATAAAGGCCTCATTGAATATAACAAACTTCCCCAAAATGTGAAGAATAATAAAAACCTGTTTCAATTCAAAAAAGATTTGACTGATTATATGAAAGGTATCATAATAGAATAGTATTAGTATTATATCCTTACTATGTGTGTCTATATAACATGAAATATTATGTATATCATGTTTGTGTATTAGGATCTTCCTACCAATAAATCATTCATTCATTCACAAGTTCACATAGACTTTTTTTCTTAAAATTGTCTCAGGAATACGCCACTTGAATATTTTAACGTAATTATGTTACAACCTGTATATTAATTAATTACATGTGAAATGAAGTTGGTGATTAACGATTTCGGATTCTTTCCTAGAACGGCATAGGCAACGAAGGTGATCCGGCCACCAAGTCCCGCTTCAGCCAATTTTTCAAGCAGGATAGCCCCGAGAAGGCTGCAGAAAGTCGTCGCTCATCAATGCACGACGACCACCACATCATCAAGAACTTGCTGAAGGACATCGGCGAGACGACGAGCGTCGCCATCCCCGGAGACTCGGAGGCATACTTCGCTCCCATTTCGCCCGCCGCCAACACTGGAGGCGGCGTCATCGGCGGGGGAAGCGGCAAGAGGGCCGCGCAAGCAAACGCTCAACCGATCAACATCATGGAGATGCTGCAAAGGGGTAAGCAGCCGAACATCTCTTCCGGGAAGATTCTTAGTCTGGACGAGCTGGAGGCGAAGATGAGGCAGGATGTGCCGCCTCCCGGTTTGGCGCAGAAGCACCACCAGCAGAAGCCTGACGAAGAAATGGCTGCGGCTTTCAAGAAGTTGGTGAGTAAGAGTCATCTTCTTCTGAGATGCTGGCTAATTATTTTTTTATAGAAGAACTTTCCAGCACATTAACATAAGCTTGAATAAATCAACACGGTTTCTTTAGCAAAAGATCAACAATAACTAACTTAATGTGCTTCACACAATCAGTAAGTAATGCACTTAATAATAACCTACAAGTAGATACTGTCTACACAGATTTCTCGAAAGCGTTTGACAAGTTGGATCATAACATTCTTATATATAAACTTCACCAATATGGATTCAACTCCTAACTCTTAAACCTTTTCCGCTCATACTCAACTGAACGTATCCTATTCGTAGGTTATAGGAGTCACAAGTCATTCCAATTTATTGCAAACAGTGGTGCCGCTTTCGGCCCATTACATCACTGGAGGACTGCTTAATCTTACAAAAAGACCTTGACTTTTTGTACAATTGGTGTACCGAAAATAATCTTCCCCTCGATACAAACAAATGTAAATACTCAAAATACACCCTCAAACATAATGTTATTTCTCATGATTACTGCATAAATAACACACCTCTTCAAATAAGCACTCATCAAAGGGATCTTGGTGTCACATTTGACCCTAAACTGAGTTTCTCCATCCACTATGACACAATAACATGCTCACCCAAACGGATGCTAGGGCTCATTTATCGTAACTGTAAGAACTTTCATAGCAGAGACAGTTTTTCAACTCTTTTCAATGCATATGTCAAATCTCGGCTGGAATATGCCTCTCTTATATGGTCACCCATATACAATGTCCACATAACCAAAATCGAGTCTATATAAAGAGGCTTC